TAGGAAGAGAGCTCAGTGGCTAAGAGCACTGGTTGCTCTTCCAGAGGACCCGGGTTCAATTCCCAGCACCCACATGGCAGTTTACAACTGTCTGTAACTCAAGTTCCACGAAAACTAACACCTTCACACAAGCAAATATGCAGACAAAACACCAACGCACATGAAATAAAAATAAATCATTTTTAAAAGCATAAAAATGTTGAAAAGAAAATATTAAATCTAAAATTCTAGAAAGAATATGAGTGCCCATCATGTGATTCCAGTTATACAAAATCCTATTCGTCGACTTCTCTGGAGACGGGTAGCTCTTAGAATGCTATGTAAGTTCCTGGGAGTGAATCATTATAAGCATCCGGCCCTCTCTGTTGCTTTTATGTCCCTCACACTGCTGGCCTTTCATAAGGACTCCCTCCTTCTAACTGACTTAGCAGAAGCCATTATCAGATAAAGCTACCTAGAACTATATAACAATACTATATAAAAATACAATGAACTTGAAAAAAAAAAAACACCATGGAAAGGTGGCTACCTTTCCTGAACATTTTAAAATGGGAAACTTGCCACATCTGAGGCAGCTCATCACATTTCTGTCCAGCTTTGACTCAGAGAGTTCTGCAGTGGCACATGCCTTCCTTCTGTGGGAGTGACTGGGACCACACGCACAATGATATCCCAGTGGCAACTCATGTTACAGTAGGACTGCCCAGCACTAACACTGCGTGCGATGTAAGACTCAGCACCACCAAGATTTCCTGGAAGCCTGATATCACCAGGAAGAGCCTAATTATACTAGAAGATTGTTTCCTCCCATTAACTGGCAGTATTGCCCAAGTGCCTGAGACTCACGGTGGCTTTTCCATGGTGCCTTGGTCCGTTCTCCATTGCTATAACAGAATCCCTGAGTCTAAGTGTGTTAGTTTGGCATGTAGTTCTGGAGGCTAGCTGGGTAGCTTTACTCAATGATGGCTTCTGCTAGGCCAGTTATAACACTGCAGAGGGAATCCTATGAAAGGCCAGCAGTGCGAAGATGAAGGTGACAGAGAGGCCTGAATGTTTTTAACAGTTCACTCTTGGGAACAAATCTATTCTTTAAAGATTTAGCCCTCTCTGAAGAAATGAGCATTAACTTCTCCTAAATATGATAGTCTTCCACAAAATAATTATCTGCTACCTCCCCCCACCCCCCAAAAAAACTTGGCCCCAGTGATGAAGTCACATCACAGGGAGACCTTAGGCCAGGGACCCAATGCATATGCTCATAGCACAGAATCATTTGCTCACACCAAGGATCCCACTTACAGAGGAGGTCCACTGTTGTTCCCAGGAAGGCCTGTCTAGGGGGTTCTATGGCTGCATTTCATGCCAATTCGTCTACTTCTGTTTTCTCTGTCTCTGTGTTATTGTTTCTGTTGTTTGAAACCAGGTCTAGTGTAGTCCAGGCTGATCTTGAATGCATTGGGTAGCTGAAGATGATCCTGACGTCTGGTCCTTCTGCCTCCATTTTCCAAGTGGTGTGATTATAGGTGTGTCCTGAACTGAGAAGTCACTGGGGCGGGGGGAATAAGTGGAGGTTTCAGATGACCTTCTCTAGATAAGAGTAATGGTGGAATAGCTTGGCAGGGGGTGGTGGGAAGGAGACATGCAGAGTACTAAGGGTCCTTTCCCACAATTGTGAGAAGTCCATACGGAAGATTTATAGATCCTGTGAGTGTTCTGTAGTGGGCCCTACAGTGCTGTGGATCCATTGGGAGCTATTTGTAGGTTAGCCTCAGGCAGGCAGGAGCCTGAAGGAGGATAGTGAGAGAAAGGCACAACAAACAAGTGCATAACACAGCTGGAGAGATGCTGATGGGAAGAGGCATGCAGAAGCATTGATGCCATGATGTTATTCAGAAGTCCAGCCCTGTCCCTAGTTGCCTAGCAACTGTTGCTGAGCAAGTGGTTGCTAGACAATATAGGGCCAACTAGACAGTAGGATAAGGACCTTAAAGTGTGTAGGCTCTGATCAGAACATCACATGGTATTGTTACCCCTGACAACAGCCATTAGGCCTGTTGCTTGTATTTTTCTCACCTCCTAATTGCCTTTGTCACACACAAAAATTGCATGACAATGACTCACAAGACCTGGAAAATTGAGAAGAAGGACACCACATGATCTTGCCATCAAACAAGATGAAAATTACCATCTTTACTCTTTCCATCCCAGGCTTCCTCTATGGAAATGCATTTCACATTTTCTTATCATTTTTAATACATGTGATCTTAAATCATTTCATTCTGGTTTAAATAACCACACAAACCTATTAGACTTCACCAGGATACTCCTCTCTTGTAACCCCACCAGCCCACACCCAACCCCTGTGCATGCTGGGCGAACACCCTGCCACTGAACTAATCGCTCCCAGTCTCAAACACAGCCTCATTTTATTAACTTGGCTCCTTTCGTTCTGCAAATGAATTTGCTTCCAATTTTGTGCCCTGATCAAGAGCACTGCAATACATATCCTCTGCAAAGAGCCTGCCTTGGGGGTCAACACCCAGGGACAAGACAACTGCATCAAAAGACACAAATAGTCTATGACTGTGTATGTTCCTACTGAAGAAGGAAGCATCTAATGATGGCTGGGCAAGGTACTGATCTGATTCCTTGGCCATGGTGGCTAGCCTGTTTCCAGGGAGTGCCTCTCTGGATTTTGGCAGCTGGGACAAAAGGATGAGTGGTGGAGGAAGGCTATAGGAGAGATCTATGATGCTCTGGGAATGAGAGGGAGAAGGGAAGGCTGCAGCAGGTGACCTGCTACACAGCTCGGGGTAAGACTTAGGTTCTATATCTTTTTTTAACTTTCAAAAACAATTTTATGCATATGTATGTTTTTTCTGCCAGTATGTCTCTGTGTTGTGTGCATGCCTGGTGCCCATGGGGGTCAGAAGAGGGTGTTGGGTTTTCTGGAACTGGAGTTATAGTCCTATGCAGGCCACCATGTGGTGCTGGGAATAGAACATGGGTCACCTGAAAGAGCAGTCAGGGCTCTTAACTGCTGAGCTGTCTCGCCAGCCCCCTTGTGATATATCTTAAGTATAAGCTTAATGTTTGTTTTTTTTTAAAAAAAAAAACTGTCAGACTATCCTCTAAAGACTCTCCACCCTTCTATCCAACAGCCTAGCTGAGGATCCCGTGTTCTCTTTGCCCTAGGAGAGGCTCTTATCTGAGCTGCTAAATTCTGAGAATGTAGCCTTTTGCCGCCAACAGCCAACTCACTCACTGTATCATGTTGTTTACTCAACAAACATCAGTGTGATACCACGACCGAGTGGGACTTACTACTGCTGCATGGAATCCTGAAAGCTTTGAGATTGAGACACAGCGCTCTGGTCACAATACTTCAACACCTCCATCCTGGGTTCTGTTGGATGAACTAGTATGAGCTGTCTGGCAGGCGTCAGTTCTATTGATACTGACAGGCTTGCCAATGGATTCCTCCAACACAACAAGGGCCCAAACAAATCGTGTGATTGCTCTCCCCAAATCCTACAAGGGACTGACAACCAGCCTTCGAACCTCAGGCACAACAAAGGAGCCAGGAGATAGTGGTACCCATCAAGTACTGAAGGTATCAGTGGTATCCCTCAAGTGTCAAAGGTACCAAAGAGTCTGACTGGGAAGGAAGGTGAGAAATGGGCTCCTTTTTATTTCTATTTTTCTCTTTGGAATAGATTTTTTTTTTCTGAAATAGATTGGTTTTTCTGAAAGGACACTGTTTTCTCAACACTTTAAAAAATAGTGTGTGCATGTATGTTTAATGTATAATATGTGAGCGCATGTTCACGTCCATCACATAGCATAGAAGTTCAGGGGATAATTTGTAGGCGTCAGTTCTCTCTATCATGTGAATCTCAGGCATCAAATTCAGGTTCTCGGGCTTGGTGGCAAGTGCCTTTAACCTACTGAGTCACCTTGCTGCTGCCTGAGATTTGTTTCCAGTCACGTGTGAAATGCACCAATGAAGCAGACGAAGAATGTGAAAATAGGCTATATAGTTAGCAGTGAGGGGAGGGAGGAAGAGGGAGGAAAAGGTAAGTCTGCCTGCATTACTTCTGGACCCTTGGTTCGTGAAAGTTTTATTGTGATGTTGGTTTTGTTAGATTGTTTTGTTTGGTTTTGTCTTTTGAGTCAGAGCCTCATTATACATCCAGGCTGGACGGGAACTCGTGATCCCCTTCTGCCTCAGTCTCCTGAGTTTGTACACAGTTAAGCTCCGCCCCTCCCCCGCCCTTTTTTTTTCCTACAAGACTGTGTCAGTTTTTCATGCATTACACAAACACATACATCTGCTGGAGCCAGAAAGGGATAAGGAGTTCAGCCTGGGACGGGGAAGGAAGGGAATGAAGGAATGAAGATAGTGAGGGAAAAACAATATTTGATATCGAGTTATCAGAGTAAATGGCTAACAGTTTGTCAGTTGGCCTTTATTCGCTGATTTTCATGTACGTGGTTCTCAACGCAACAATGCAATATCCTTAGGTTAAAAAAACTGCGTATCTGTGCATCATCTCATTAAATGTGTTTGTGTGTCTATCAAATTTTAAGATCTTACATTATTCAAGTCTTTGGAAAGAAGAAACAAAACCCTGGGGAAGCCTCCCCACACAGCTTGGTGCTTTGTCCCCTGCATTTCTGCTTCCAGACTGCCAAGCCCCGCTTACTAGCTGGGAGATCCCAACGTCTCTCACCTCCTCCCCTGCACCACAGTCTCGTTGCTATGGAGATAGACTTTGCTGCGGCCAAGACTTGAGAGATGTTAGAAGCTGGCTGGCCAACCTCTGCAACAGGCTGTGGGCGGAAAGGAGGAGCCAGAGAAAGTGCTGTCTGGGCAGAGAGGCCCCGGACTGTAGAGGGCCCCTGCTCTGCTGGCTCCGCCTCTATCACCCCCACCCACCCAGGGTATAGAAATACTGCTGCAGTCCGGGCCACCGCCCACTGCACTGCGACCCAGTAAGGACTTCGCCACTTAGTCTCAGCAGCTTATCCAACCGTGCTCTGCGCCCATGGCTAAAGGTCCCTTTTCGCGCAAGCCCTTGGGTCCAGAGCAGATGTATTTCGACTCAGATCCTGAGTACGAGGGCCTGTTCGATAAGCCTTCCCTGGAGGAGGGCCACACTGCCCCTGCACCTAAGTCTGCATCCTCGGCTGGCAGGAAATCTGGACGGCGTTCAAGCGGGAGGGCTCCGGGAACCCGCGCTGGGCTGTCCCGAAAGGCCGCCGTGCGTCCACAGCCCAAGGAAGAAGAACCTCCGGTGGAAGAGGGCTGCTACCTAGACCACTTCCCGCACCTGTCCATCTTCATCTACGCGGCCATCGCCTTCTCCATCACCTCCTGCATCTTCACCTATATCCATTTGCAGCTTGCCTAAGCAGTCAGGGCCCGTCGGGGTGGGCGCAGAGTCGAGGGGAGGGGAGGGGAAGGGAGGAGAAAGAGAAGCGTAGCCTTTTGTTTCGGAAACGCGCTGCATCCCCTTCATCTAGCGTTCAATGCTTCTTTTCTTTGTTGTCGCTTTGTCTAATTGTTCATCAGACAGTCCAGAGTCGCTATAGGCAATGGAATAGCTGTGTTGCTTGCACCCGTACATTGAGTGCAATTAGTACAATTCTGGATTGGATTGAATTGAACTCCCTTTGTAATTAGGATGTCTCTGCATCCTACCACTTTGTGACGTGAAGGCCCAGCATTTTCGTGTTTGTAGAACACAGAGTCCAGCCTTCTGTTTAAAGGATGAACCAGACCGGAGCCTGCGGCCTCTCTGAGAGTAGAGTCAGCACCCTGGCTCGAAGTGCTGGAGCCTCATGATGCTGCGTCACCCCGGGATGAGCAAGTTGTGCCTAGTTCTAGGACTCTGAGCACCAAGCTGGCGGACCTGGGAGAGCAGCGGATATGGCTGGATGCTGGAGGAGGTGAGTGGCGTTTGTCAAGATGATTCTGCACCTTCAGGAGCTGGGGCTGATGCGGGCTGTGTATTTTTCCCGTTTTAGGATTTGTGGCTACCAGAAGGACCCACGGCCTGTAGTAAGCAGAATTGACCACCAGAAAGCCAACGCTCAAGACGGGTTTTTGGACTGTGTGGAACAGGAGGCCACAGGTCTTCAGAGATGGAGGCCTAGAATTCGTGTATTCCATGAGATGAGACTGAGGGCTTTCCTTTGTGGGCGGTCCATAGGACTGTGCTAGAGAATTCTATGGTGACTTCATTTCAGCCTGGAGGCCTTCTGAAGCTGTGGTATCAAGATGAAGGGGCTGGGATTAAGGACTGTCAGTAACAGAGTTCTTGCTGAAATTTGTCATCTCAGACTCAAAAAAGTGAATACCAGAGCTCACTTTTGGAGGTTATTCACCTACCCACTCGTTATTCATGTCAGCTGTCCAAATGCAAAACTTTTAACACTGCTATACTCTGGAAATGTCTATAAATGCAGTATATCTGATGGAATAAATCATATTCTCAGTCTCCTCTGTATTCAATTGTCCATTAACTCCCAACTATATGATGCTCCTTGACAGATTCCCTCTTCTGCTCTAGATTTCACTCCCTTTTCTTTAAAACATTCCCACTATCCCTGTAAAGCTGACTTGATTACACAGCATTTCTAGGTACAGAATCTCTCCAAACCAAATAGCTATACAGGCCCCTCTGTGGCATCTAGCACTATGTCCAGATTCCTATGTCCACAATCCCCTAACAGCAGTCTGACCTTGCCACATGGTATCATTGCCCACTGCTCAGTATTAGAATCCCCACTTGCCTCCCTATCAAGGGGCTTTTTACCCAGCACAGTCCCTCAGCTAAGCTCTGGATCTGCTCCGTGAATGACCCAGGTTGAGTTTTTAGAAATTGTTTTCAAGCCGGGCGGTGGTGGCACACGCCTTTAATCCCAGCACTTGGGAGGCAGAGGCAGGCGGATTTCTGAGTTTGAGGCCAGCCTGGTCTACAGAGTGAGCTCCAAGACAGTCAGGACTACACAGAGAAACCCTGTCTCGAAAAAAAAAAACAAAAAAAAAAAATTGTTTTCAAATAGAAGGGCCTTCCTTCACTGTTCTGGTCTTCCCTGATCCCATATCCCCATGTGATTTGGTATTTTGCTTCTTTGCACTTTAAATGCCACAAGTCTGACACCCACTGTTCCCTGATGACAGCTTGTTTACAGTAATCTCCTCTAACTATCAATGGAAATGTTCCCCCAGATTACATCTCCGAAGTACCAAAAAAGTTCTGCCAGTTTCCGGTTGTACCCGTGGATGCTGGATTTAGCACTGACGTTTAGCATTGCTCCCCACTAGATGCCTATATATGGGCTAATTCTTTCCAAAAACACACTCCCTATTGTCTCTCACTTTACAGTCCTAGGTATGATTGTATCCTCTAATCCCAACAGCAAATTCCTTCCACGAGTCCCCAAACCAAAGTATCCATTTCTCAACATCTGTTATTATTCCATGGTATCATGAGATTTTCCAGATATTGAAGATCCATTTTCTACCCCAAATTCAAGCATTTAGTTTTACCAACTATACCACTGTTAGCCCTATTACCTCTCAAATCTTAACATTGGTTTCAATGTCCAGACTGGGGATGGCTCAGCCAGTTAGAATGCTTGTTGCATGGTAATAGTCAATTAAGGAGCCCATCCCTGGGGAAGACTAAATATTCATTCATATTCTCTCAGCATTCCTTAGTTACCTGTAATTGTCTATGGGTGGTACCAATGAGATTCGCCTTACCCTCACCCCTCTGCGGCTTCATGTTAGCATGTGCATTAGTGGTGCCTTTGTTCAGATCTTGTTTAGGCAGCTATATTGTTGAGGTATCATGGGTGAGCTTATACATACAAACAACACTCAACAGGCTGTGTGTGTGTGTGTGTAAAACAACAATTTAACAAAAGAACCATAAATTTGAAAAGAGGGACATGGGAAAGAGAGGAAAGAAAGAGAAATTATAACTATATTTTAATTTAAAAATTAAAAGCTGGATGAACAAGTCATAGAAAGTTAAGTGGCACCTTTCAGTGGTCTCTGCTTCAGTTTCTGATTCCTGGCTTAAAATTGCCCCAACTTCCCTCACTAATGGATGTTACCTTGAAATATAAGAGAAAATAACACCCATCCATTCGCCCCACTCCCAAACCAAACCAACCAATCAAATAACAAAAGACTGCTTGAAGTTCTTTTCAGAGGGCTCAAGTAAGATTACCTGTGTTGGTCAGTTCCCAATCACCCATTAATCCCAGGCCCAAGGAGTCTGATACCCTCTTGGCCTTCACAAGCACCAGCAAACAAATGGCATACAAAAAGATAAATAAAAATTTTAAATCTCAAATATTCAGCCCCAGTCTGGGATATAGTTCAATGTTATGAACCCTAGGTTCCATACCCTGTAAAGCAAAAACAAATAACCTATATTGTCCCTTATTTCTTAATGTATTAGTCCCACAAATATTGTCCCCCCACTGTTGTACTCCAGCCTTTAGCATTCACCTACCGTACATCAGCCCACTCATAACCATGATTCAATTACTTTTGTTCCCATACTCTAATATTGCCTCTTATTGAGCTGTGTTCCTTACACCTGCTCACTCTTCTGTGACCAGGCTGGCCTTGAACTTTGAGATCTGCCTCCTCTACCTCCCAAGTGCTGGGTGGCCTGTATCTCCTAACCTCTGTTCTCCCATCATCCAGGTTGCCTCAGCATCATCATGTCTGGCACACCTTCCTGTTAGGTTTTCCCACAGTGACCATGCATCTCTCCACTATTTTATAGGTGACTGCTTTCCTATACCGATTCTCAGCAATATGCCAATTTTGAGGTTGCCTTGTCCAAATTCTCAGGTCTTTTCCTGCCTAATAATAAATATCCTTTTAGGGTTTCACCATAAAAAAAAAATTACCTATGAGCTGGAGAAAGGACTTGGCAGTTAAAAGCACTCCCGATTCTTAGAGGACAGGGTTTAGCCTTCCCTGACTCCAGTTCTAAAGATCCAACACTCTCTTCTGGCCTCTGCAGGGTCATGCATACATAGGCAAGACACTCATAAAATAAAAATCTTAAATATCAAACATACCCATCCTTTTATGTTGCTCAAATTCCAGGAATGCAGGAGTATAGTTGAGTGGTATAGCTTAGTGTGAACACTCTAGCTAGGTTTAGTCCCTAATACCCAAAACATGTATTTTGAAAATTCTATATTCTTATTGACCTAGCTGGGATCACATACTTACTTTTGGCCAAAAGGGACAACTTATCAGACAATATGAAAATAACCTCTCAAATAAAAACTGAAGTGTTATGGATGTTGTGGGCAGGTAAAGTATCAGATATCTACTTCCAGCAGATCAAAATTGACCCAGTGCCAATTGTTTGGGGCAAGAGTCCTGTTCTAAGCTGTCAGTGATGAACAGATATACGAATACACGAAGCTATTTCTGATTATGAAACAATATTATGCTTGAAAGAGATATTAGAACTTTGCTGAGACAGTACAAAAACTCTCAGATTTTATTTTCCTAACAGGTACCCTATACCCTTATTAGTTATCTTACTCTGACCTCACTAGGTCCATGGCTGCTATTTAAAAAAACAATAACAACAACAAAAAAAAAACCTCAGAAACTCAGAACACCAAAAATGTATTGTCACAGCTGTGGAAGGCCGAAAATCTGCAATGTGTCTACAGGGCCGCTGCTGGAAACTCTTAAATCTGTGCTCTGCCTCTTCTACCTTGTGGCTGTAGTACTCCAAACCGTCTAGGTCACAAAACAACATGTCTTACATCTCAAATCTTCCATTTGAAGGTATATTTTATCATCACTGGATTAGGGCCCACCAAGATAGTTCAAAATAATCTCTTCATACTTAATTATATTTACAAAGACCCTCTTTCTTTAAGGCAACACTTAAAAGTCCCAGAAATTAAAAGACAAATGTATCTTTGAGGGATTCCCCCATTCAACTATATTAGTTTTCCAATGTGCTAAATTGGAAATAAATGTGATAATTTTTATCTAAGTAAAAAGTCACATTAAGCCAGGTATAGTAATCCCAGCATTTTGGAAGTAGAGACCAATCTAAGCACATGAAGCCTTGCCTCAAGCAAAACAAAACAAAAACCAACTAAACAACAAAAAAAGCCATAGAGGAGATTGCCGTTTCTCCAAGGTCTCTTGCTGGACTCCAAGTGCTTACCACCACTAGGTTCTTGCTCTTGCAAAGATCTGTTCTGGAAATAGAAACATTTCTTCTGTACCAAAGCCAAGAGGTTTTGTTTTGTTTTTTAAACTACTTCCTTATCCCAATCAATTAGCAAGTTCCCAGTCCAAGCTAAATTACTAATAAAAGTGCTATACTGGCTGGGCCATGATGGAAAACTATGGTTCTATATTTCCCCTCACTGCTGGGATGTCAGAACAACAATATCGTGAAACACGGGGGCACTAGGCTACATTCCATTCTGCCTGTTGAGATGCCAGGCTCCTGTGATACCACTAAGAGATAGGCCCCAGCCCATATTTCTCTGGATACAAAATGGTGGAGCCTGGGACGAGGCTGTGGTTCTCAAACTCCACAGCACCCAGATGATGCTGGGAACGAGGAGAAGGTGGGTGAGAGGGTCAGGGGCTGCAGGCCTGAGATGAGTGCCAGGCAGAAGGAATCTGGCTTAACTGAAGGGGCCAGGAGTGTGGGAGGGGCCTTCTCTGGGAGGCTTAGGCATGGCTTGGTATGACAAAAGCTTTCCCTCCATGGCAGTCCTTAAGGAACAAAACAGTCCTTGCCTGTCCAAACTATTTATTCATGGTGAAAAAGGATACAAACTTATATACTTACTCAGAATGGACCAGAGATTAAATACCTTTTGCAGGAAAGAATGTCCAGGAAAGGAAGTTTATTGGTTAGACCCTCTGGGCCTATATAGATAACTTCATTAGCACTGAGAACTCTTGAGTTTCTATGCTATGCAACCAGTTGTCATGGTCCTCTTAGTGCAGTGTTGTCACACTCCAGGACTCTGGTTGGGAGTAGATTCAAACACCTACCATTCTCAATTTTATGAGAATTGCTGGGATTATTAATCTGCTCAACTTTACCAGTTTTTCTATCTGGTGACACAGTTCCACTTGCCCCACAAATGACTGGTTAATAAAGTAGTTGGGTGTTTAATCCTCTCACATTGTCTTTAGTCAGTCAAAAGGATTACGATCACAAAGGGCTCATGACCAAAGTAGAAATATCTTTGGCTACAGCATCATTCTTTAAGCATTCTCCCACAAAAGCCAGTGCTGATTTACATCTCTTTACATATATTAAGCAATAAGGTAGTATGTAAATACTGAAGTATTTGTTTATTACACATATAGAGAATATTTATTATAGGTAGCGTCCAAAGTTAAGGTAAATGCCTTCCTGCTGTCTCTTCCCATAGTAGTAGAGGTGTTTAAGGATGAGATCATGCCAGAGCAGGACCTGAACTCAAACTTTTAATGGAAACCAACACCCTAAAGAACACTCCTGTTCCCACAGTACTGTCATGAATCAAAGTATAAACTTCAACAGTGTACCAAGAAGTCAAGTTTTAACATGAATTTTGTGGGATACATTCAAACCCCTTACACCAACCCTTTTAGTAATTTTCCATCTCCGCTTTGCCCCAACAAGTCCCATTCTGACCCTTAGCTGCTCATTCCCAACTTCTTATCCTTCTTATATTCAGAATCTAATCTCTCCCTTAACGAAAAATCCTCCTGCAATGGTCCCAATATCCAACTTAAGAGTCCAGAATAAAGTCTGCTTTACCAATATAACAAGTGTCATCAATCACATTTGGGCTTTATTTTCTTTTTGTTTTTTGAGATGGGGTCTTTTTAGTCCTGGCTCCCCTGTAATTCTTTATGTAAGTCAGGCTAAACTCACAAGAGGTCCACCTACCTTTGCCTCCTGAGTACTGGGATCAATAGTGTGCATGAAACTCAGATAGGAGTCAGTTTCTAGTAACACACACTCACACATACACAGAGGTTTTGCTTCTCTTAAGAAAAAGATATATATATCAATCACTGTGTGTGTACACATGATGTGGGGGATGGGAGTGTACATGCCACAGTGTACCTTTAGAAGTCAGAGGACAATTTTGTGAAGTCTTTCTTTCCATCTTTAAGTAGGTTCTGGGGAGCCTACTCAGGTCACCAGGCTTATATTACAAGTACTTTTACCCGCTGACCCATATCATCAGCCCTTGCTTGTCTTACAAAAAATAGAATGGAACATGACAGGTATATACTGTTTCCTACACTGTCCATATCTGTTCTAGCTGTGTGAATTCCTTAATATGCTCTACCCTATGGGTTTTCTGCTATTTTCTTTGCCTAGGATGATCCCATAGGCGCAAGGGTAAGGCTTTCTAAGCCTGACTTGAATCTTACATTATCAGTCAGACATGCCCCTTTAATACTGCACTACACGGCATCCCATATCCCTGATCCCCTCTGCTGTGCCCTGCTTCCCCTTGATTTCCTTTTCCTTCTCTCCAGTGTGGTGTGTTAAATCCTGAGACACCCACATGCTGTGTATACTCTACCACTGAGCTATATCCTCAGCCTAGCTCTATTAGTCCCTGATGTACCTCATGGTTATACTCTGTGAATACCTGGTTTATACAATAAAAATGAGCAGAAACATCCAGCTCCATAAAGATTCCATCCCCTCCTGAAATCATACTAAAACATCCCTAACAGCAAAATGAATACAATCCCAAAAGAACAGGAGACATTACCAGATGTGAGGGCAGCGAACCCAAGTTCCAGGGGGAGAAAAGCAAATGAACACAAGTTCTGCTTTAGAAATCTGAACTGGAGCCTGCAATTTACAAGATCTGCTGATTTGCTTTGAGTAACCTAGGGAAGGAGGGGAATGTGGCCCCAAAAGACCTTAAACATAGAGCAAACAAAGAAAAGCTACCTATTTACATGGTCGCTCTTTTCACTATTGAGACATTACTGTTTCCAGTCTTTTGCTTTCTTTTTCTACATTGTCTCTAATGTTCTGGAGTTTTCTGCAGTTCTGGACCAGGGACACCAAACTCTCCCTAAAGTTACTAGTTCCTTGATATCTGCCAATGTTTTCAAGCTCATCAAAGAAAGTCAAGGTCTCTCTGAGTTTGGCTTTAACAGTTTTTTGCTCCTCTAATTCTGCAAGAAGGGCCTGTTCAGTGCATAATTCAACTTTATATTTCTCCTGTAATTCTTTGATTTCCTGTTTGAGAAGACGGAATTTTTCTTCACTGAAAGGATTCATCTCCTGAGACTTATCTTCAGGAAGCAGGATGTTTGGGGGAATACACAAAATCGACTGTAAAATTAGCTGTTCCATTTTGCCAAAAAGATTATCGAAACGTCCTTTCATGAAGCAAAGAAACTTCTCTGTGCATTTACGAGTCTGGAAAGGGCTAATCTCACAATCTGGAATGCCCTCCAACTTCTTTAGGATAACCTGTTCAACAGCCTGCATCACTTCAAACAGGTGGTCTTGAAATGCTATGTAGATCCTTAGCAGGCAAGTCTGTGGTGTGAAGCCAAAGAACTGGGCCTCATAGGCCATCGGATCCACAGACATCCTGCTTTGTGTTCTCAACTGTGAAAACCTGCAAGTATAAAAAGAAAAAAAAAAATCATTTGGACATTATCACCAGCAGAAAGTAACAAACCTCATGACTGATGAGCAAATCAACAAAGAAAGCAAATAAAAACTAAGGAGTGCTCCTTTGATACCTGAAGTCTCTTCCAGCCTTAACTGTCCACAGAAAGACAGAAGCAGCCCTTGCCTATCTGAGTCAAATATAGGAAAGCCATATCCTCTTTATTATTCATTTCTTTCAGTTAGCATTACTGAAGACTTAGGCACAAGCTCAACCTCAATTCTGTTATCTTGGGCAACTTTCAAAGTTTAAATAAATGGGCTCAATGCCTAGAGACCCAGTCTTCTGAGCTTCAGTGATCTACATGTGGCTCTTCCCTCCCCACCCTATCCCACCCCCTATATACCAACCTCTCAAGACAATTCCTTGCTGTGTAGTCTATGGGTTGGCCTCAAATTCTTTCATTTGTGACAGGGTCTCATGTAGCTGAAGCTGGCCTCAAACTTGGGATGTAGCTGAGGATGGTCTTGAACTTTTGATCCTTCTGCCTCTACCACCAGAATGCTGGGATCCTAGGAGTACAACAAGCCCAACATTTTATGTGGTGCTAGAACCTAGGGCCCAGATAAGCACTCTACTGACTTAGCTACATCTTCAACAGCTCCCATGCTAGTCTAACTGTCATTCACATCACACCTCCCAAAATCTTCCTTCACTCCATCCCTGCCTTCAACCTTTGCTTTCTTGCTCCCAGTCCTCCCATCTAACTTCCTCCCCCACTCCTTTTAGGCCCTATGTTCTACCATTTTAATTACCTCATTATAAATGTCCTCAGTTCCCTTATCTTCTATCCTAGCCATCTGATAAAAATCCGATGAAAGGACCTATACCCTCACTTGTTTCAAGGATCTGAGTGGCATTTCTTTCTAGTATAAGCATCTACAACCATGTTATCCCATTTCCTTATGGCCATGGGAGCTTACTTAACCTTGGCACTCCCAGGTAAGGGCCCTTAATGTAATCTACAAGCTGCTACTTCAACTACCAGATGAATTTTTTAAAGAATTAACTGGTAAAAAAAAAAAGTATAGTCAATGGCATGGACAACTTACAAGAAGTCAGGATACAATTACCCTTGAAAACTTACATATGCATTGGTTTTAAAACACAGGTAATAACTATACGACTATATAAATAGAGTCTCTCTTTGAAGTGTTGTTCACAGATTATCTCTAGACTAGAGTTTTACTTCCTGAACACTTCTCATAGATTATGTTCCTATGAGGGTTTTGTTGTTTTGTTGACATAGAGCATCACTATGTTGCTTAGGCTAGCCTCAAATTTTCCATTTTTCTACCTTAGCCTCCCAAGGAGCAGGATGCTAGAACTATACTCTTAAAATTTCTGATGTTGTTTTTAGACAAGTAGGTCTGGCTGACCTAGAACTCATTCTTAATGAGTATGTGCATGTATCTATCTGTGTATGTACACATACATGAAGATGTCCACAAAAAAGCAGGTGTTAGGTCCACTGGACCTGGAGTTACAGACAGATGTGAGTGCTAGGAATCCCACTCAGGTCCTCTACAAGGGCAGCACGAGCCATTAACTATAGAGCCACCTCTCCAGCCCCCGCAAATAGTCTCATATACACAAATTACATTTTAATGTCCTTGTCACTTCATATTATTATGCTCATTTACTTGACTGACTCTGACCATAATAGTATACATATATTCCAGATAAAGTGCCCATGCTTTGTGACAAACACTTCATTGGGTTCTAGTGCTTTTTTTAAAAAATGCTGAGATCTGAACTAGGGTATCATACCCGTTAGGTAAAATCCTATCAATCGGCTGCATATATCCCTGGTACTGGTTCAAGCATCTTACTACCAGAAATGTTATTATTTTTTTTTAATTCTTCTTTTAAGGGTTTCATCTACTCATCTATCCTCCCTCTCAGCCCATGGCCCACATCCATGCCCTATGCAACCTTTGGTCAATTTAGTAAGAAGGTGCTGTTCCAAAAAGGAGAAGGGAAAGGGTAGCACAAAGTCAATCATATATGGAAGTAAACCCATTCCCCTTAGACCTGTGCAACTGCAGTGTTAGGAGGACTGATACTCAGTGTAAAATAAGACAGTCCTTCCCTACCAACCAACTAATCAAGAAACCTAGTCAAACTTGTGAGCACACATCAAGATGATGAGGAACCAGGCTGAAGGGAAGCTCAGCAGTTAAGTCCACTTGCTGCTCTAGCAGAGGGCCCAGACCTCACAATCATAGCTTTTATTCTCCCCCCCCCACCATCTTTTTAGCTATTTTGTTTGTGAGTTCTTCATGGGTTCTTCTTTTTTATCTGTCTCCTAACTGTATCTTCTCTGTCTCAGCTCAGCTTCTCCTGGCTCATCTGTCACTGTCTTCTCCTCTCAGTCTGCTAGCCCAGTTCACTTTCAACTGCCTCCCATTCTCACTCTCTCAATCCCTCTCTTCTCTAGCCCCCCTCTCCATCTTCTCTCTGCCAGAACCAACTGTCTTCTCTGACCCCACTCTTCTGTCTCCTGGACCCACTGCTGCCTACTACTCTCCCTCCTACAACTACTAAATACATCATGCCAGTTTCAGGGGATTTGACACCGCCCACCTCAGGAACTACACACAGTGTGGCACACATACATGCGGGCAAACATTCAAAACACAAAAAAACAAAAATAAATTAATTTTTAAAATGTCTTAAGATAGTGAGAAACTGGGCTAGAGGGATGGTTCAACAGTCAGTAACACTTGTTCCTGCAGAAGACCCAGGTTCAATTCCCAACACCTACATAGTGGCTCATAACCATCCATAACTCCAGTTCTAGGGGATCTAATGTCCTGTTCTAACCTCTTTAGGAGGCCAGGTACACACATAGTGCATATACATACATGTAAACAAAACACTCATTTACATACAATTCAAAAAAAATTAAGCTGGGCAGTGGTGGCGCACGCCTTTAATCCCAGCACTTGGGAGGCAGAGGCAGATAGATTTCTGAGTTTGAGGCCAGCCTGGTCTACAAAGTGAGTTCCAGGACAGCCAGGACTAAACAGAGAAACCCTGTCTCGAAAAAACTGAAAATGAATAAACAAATAAATAAATAATATTATTAAACAACAAACAAACAAATGCGGGGAAGGAGAAATGACTCGGTGGTTAAGAGCTCTAGCTGTTCTTGTGTAAGACCCAGGTTCAGTTCCCAGCACCCACATACTGGCTCACAACTGTCTGCACCTCCAATTCTTGGGAATTCAATGTCGTCTTCTGACCACTGAGGAAACCAGGAACGTACATGGTGAATATATTTAAATGCTGGCAAAACATATACACATTAAAAAAAAAAAAAGATAGTGAGGAACCAGGTAAAAGTCAGACTATGACACTGAAATAGATTAATGAGGCTTGATTTGGTCCTTGATACTCCAATGTAAGATTCTACAGGTGCAGCTAAGGATATGCTTTGCTGGCAAGCCAAAATGATAAGATTAATGACAGTCCATATCAAGGCACAATATTCTTTGACAAACTCTCTTACCTTCAAACCACCTAAGGCTACATTTGCAAGAGATCTCAAACAGTAACAGTAATGGTAACCAGTGATCTCCTACTCTATTTCTAAATTACTTTTATCCATTTGTGGATCTCTTCTGTGATACAAGTTTGTATGATCCTTTAATGCCAGACATTGCACAGATCTATAAATTAAAGATACATTTAAGAGACTTTGTTGGGAACAAATTCAGAAGCATGCCATATGATATAACCTTAAAGTCAGAAGAGTCTGCATTATAGTTGGAATAAACTTTACTGTTCATTTTTTAATTATTTGGCAGTTCCTTTATCAGACCTCATCTTTTTAATTTTGTCTTTTGTTTACTACCTTCTATTCAGTCACTGGGTCATCTAAGAATACTTAAGTTCTTTTAGTTTTGTACAATAATTTTTTAAAGATTTGATTTTATTATTTATATGTGAACATATGCCTATGTGTTGTACCACATGCATATAGGTGCCCCTGGAAGCCAGAAATGGGTGTCAGATGGACTGGAGCCAGACTTGCACTGAACATGTGCTAGAATGCAAACTCAGGTCCTCTGGAAGAAGCGGCGTGGGCTCTTTACTGTTGAGTCATGACTACAACCACACAATAACCACCTTTTAGAAATCTATAAGAGAACAGCTACTCAAGACTTCAAGTGGAATATGTGTACTTTGTGTCTGTGTCTTCACTCTAACTTGGTAATGAGAGTAAGTCATTCCCCACTGCCCTAACACAATGACAAAGTCATCTGAGTAGTGAGATGTGGTTAGTTATCCCACTAAAGGATGCAACCTTAGCAGCATCTGTTCTTGTTTAATCAATGTTAGAAATCTGCGTTTACAGGATGTTCTTTATACTCACAACTGATGGATTAGAAAATTGGTTTTGCTTATGTATAACTAGTACAGGAAGACAAACATCCTTTGTATTTCAAAATAGGGTCTTAAAGCAGTTCTACATTTTCACCTTAATTGCTAGGAGCCTTGGAGGTATTAACTGATCTAATCATAACAGATTATGTCAGCTAATAGTGGAGATCTTTCTATGATATCTTCTGGGGGACTTGTCACATATCTGGATATATAATGTCACTAAACATTGCCAAAACATTCTCAGAACATCTAAGCCGGTTTACACTCACTTGGCGTAGACCAGAACGTCTTGTATCTGCCAATACTCTAACTTTTGTGAATTTGGTAGTCATAAACTTGTTTTTCTTTCCTATAGAGCTAAGAAGTATGCCCAGGGCCTTTTATATACTAGCTAAGCACTCTCGCACTAGATTCTCAGCCCCACATTGTATTTTAAAAACTAAAACCATCTGGCTTCACATACTGTTTTGGACACTGAAACTACCTCCACCCTCCATCTCCAAATATAGTGTTTATATTGGGATGACTTTCCTAGAAGATTATATTTTCATTCTCCAATAGGATAGTCATCTGTTATGAATCACCCAGATGATGGGCCAATCTACTGACAACTTGTACCCTATAATTCTCTTAAGTTTGCACTCTAACTTTGCCTCAAAGTTCTCAACAATCTTGGATATCTGATATATAACCAAATTCCTACATCCAAACTTCCAGTTTTGAGAAAAGTTCCAACTTTGCCTTTTCTCTGCTAGACACTGACAATGCTATGACAAGGCAGTAGCTATAAAAATGCAGTTTTACCATCAAGTTGCTAAGACCACTCTACTGTGTTTGCTCCCACTCTCCTCTACGTTGTCCACACTGGACTAGACTTTCAGGATGCAACAAATCCTCTGGTTTCAGCCTTCAGAGTGACTAGGAGACACAGGGCGGTGTCATTACTTACTTCAGGCTTACTTCTAAATGCCATTCTCTCCAGCTTTTTACTTGGTTCCTAACAGTCTTGACAGTCACATTTTCTTAATGCTTCTTTACAACTTACTGAATACGTCTGCCACGACCAGGATAGTCTTTGCTCCAACCCAACCGAATCCTATTTTCTTTCCTTCAAGTAGGCACGCATTAGGCGCAGATTCAAGAGCCAGTTCGAACATACATCCCTGAAGAACCAGCCACTACTTCCTTCGCTTTCCCCTCAGTGCTTTGAACTCATCTACCGTCTCTTCTCTGCTAGATTAGAGTTCCTGCGGCTGAAGATAAACATGGGAGGTTCCCACACCGTCTTGACGAATGTAACGGACTTCAGAGCCTACGACCAACACAGACAAGGCCCAGAAACCGCAAAACGGGAAGCGCTTCCGGCCGCTCCAGCTCCTGTCCCACCCCGCGGCCGCGATGCATGCTGGGAACTCTAGGTCGGCCCAGCCAAGCCGGACCTGTGGGATTCCTTACAGACCGCTCCGCCGCCCTGACGCTAATCCTCCGGTTCCACCCCTTCCGCTCCTCCTTAGCACACAGCCCTACCGAAGCGAGCTCGGGAGTGATGGAGTCCGCCACTCACCGGCTTCCCGCCACTTCCTTCAAACTACACCGAGCTGCTGGAAGAAGGCGGCAACACCGGCTCCTCAGAATCGACTGAGACCTGCCTCTGCGAACGAACGCAAAGGCGGGATGGATCGCACTCCTGATTGGCTAGCCGTGGGTCGAAAGGGGGGACTGTGATTGGTAAAAGGAAAGAGACAAGGCGGGAAAGCTAGCTGTGGCCGGCAGGGATTGGCGGAAGGAACTGGTACTGTCTCTCTGCGTTGGTAGGCGGAGAAGTAAGGCTGGGCCGACGCAAAGGCGCAACTCTTGATTGGTGAATGAACGGCCCCAAAGCACCAGCGATTGGTGGCTGTCTGAGTCCGCAGCGCTGATTGGACAGTAGTGGGTAGGCTCGACGCCAGCTTTGAGTCCGCCCCGCCGCCAGCTTTGAGTCCGCCCCGCCGCCTGGCATACTGGCGGAAGGGGAAGGGGGGCAGGCGCGGTGGGAAAGATGGCGTACCAGAGCCTCCGGCTGGAGTACCTGCAGATCCCGCCGGTCAGCCGCGCCTACACTACCGCCTGCGTCCTCACCACCGCGGCCGTGGTGAGCAGCTGTGGCGCCACATCCTCTTTTTCCAGGCTAGCTATGACTGCGTCTTCAGAAAACGGGTTTGGGCCGCGGAGAAGCCCAGTGGGTCTGGTCCCAGGGGTGGGTGGGGACATCCGGAGCTGACTCTAGGGTTTGGGATATTCCCAAGGGTGCCAAGCCAGTGACCTGAGAAGGGTGTGCTCCTTCATGAAGGGCCAGGTCAGTTTCAGACAGATGAAATCCAGACCTGTAGCAAATCAGAAGTGCGGGAGCCATCCACCCAAAAATGTGTCTGAGAGGTCTAGCTGTGTCCAGGTAACTAGTGGGAGTAAGGTCCGCTAGGTTCACAGACTATTATATTGAGTATAGAAATCTCGAGTTTTCTAGAAACATCTTTCAAAAGATGGGGCCTGTGGATATAAGTAACTGGCCGCCTGTATTTAATCCTAATAGTAGTAGGGTCTTAAACCTCTTATTCCAAGTTGTCTCACCCAGCTGTTTGATAGGGTGACCACGTGACGCACCGATTTGTAAAAGATGCTGTTATCTCTAAAATATTACCACCCGCTTGCCTTATAGTATCCTCAAGTATTTCAACATAAAACTTACATTGTGTGTTTATAAAAAACGGTTGTGCAAATTCTAAAGAATCTCTTACCAGCTGTCACAAGCAAGACAAATTTATTCCAAGGGACAGAAATCATTAGCTCTACTAATCCTTTGTTGTTCATGCTGAAATTGTGTTTTGCGGTTGATCTGCTTCAAGAAGCTCTTTTTCCATTTCAGCAGTTGGAATTGATCACACCTTTTCAGTTATACTTCAATCCTGAATTAATTTTTAAACACTTTCAAGTAAGTGGTCTATAACAACTATGATTAATATTTTCACTACCTTTTTTCATATTGTTTAGTAAGTAGTAAATCCTGTCAGATACAGTCTCAAAACATAACCCAGTAGGGGAAGCTCTGATTACAAGTCTTGTTGAGATGTAAAGAGGGAATTCCACAGCCTGGTTGGACTCCAGAATCATTTAAGAGCTGCTAGGTACTTGTGAACTCCTCATCATATACCAAATTAGAATTGCCAGGGGTTCACCTTTAATCCCAGCCCTCGGGAGGCAGAGGCAGGCGGATTTCTGAGTTCGAGGCCAGCCTGTTCTACAGAGTGAGTTCCAGGACAGCCAGGGCTACACAGAGTAACCCTGTCTTGAAAAACCAAAAAAAAAAGGAAAAAAAAAAAAAGAATTTCCGGGGGGGAGCCAGGTTCAGGCAGAGTAACCAGGAGGATGGCAAAGTGCTGGATAAGCTTGGGCAGAATAGAGATACACTGTCTTAAGAAAAATAATTTTTAGTATACTTTTGGTGTGTTGAGATTCTATATTTGACTACAACTCGTTAATACTAATGTGGCCATAATCCCAGCAGTCAGGAACCTTAGCCCACCTTGAATTACACATCAAGGAATTGTCTCATCACTCAAACAATAGTAACAACAACAGTAATAATGTGATTTGGGAATAGACTGAGAGCTAGCTGCCCAGGGAGTCTCACAGAATAGCTTTATTTTGTCCATTTACCACCCAGACACACCTATCACTGTTGTTAATCCTCCTGGTCCAGCTCATAAACTCAGTTCTGGTAAAACTTTAACATTGACCTGTCTTCTAGAAGTCAGAGTATACTAACAAAGGTCTTATACCGTTATCTAAAACGGAATGTTGACTTTCTAGATTACAGTTTGGAGAAGTCTTTTTCCAGTGATTAAAATGCTAAAGAGAAGTGTGTTTTCTTGGCAGGATGGTCATTCATTCACAGCCTAGGTGAAGTGGAGGCAAGATCTCAGTGGCTGTAATTCTGCTTTATTGATGCTTTCCCCTCTTCCAAATGTGTTACACTCCCTTTGTACCCATTGAACTCTAGCTTGCATTTCAAGATTGGGCTTTTGTGTACACTCAGATATATTATCTTTCCTGTTAGAGCCTCTCTCACCCTTATTTAGGATTTTTTATGTGCAGTGTCCTCACTAGCATGAGAATGCTATAAACTCTGTATTGTTTGCCTGTGAATAGAGTGCTGGCTCCTTTTCACACTGCTGTGACAGAATTCCTGACAAAGCAACTTAAGAAAGAAAGGGTTTATTTTGGCTAACAGTTTGTTGGTAAAGTCCATTGTGGTTGGGAAATTGTGGCATTCAGAGCTTCAGGCAGCTGGTCCCTTTGCAGAGGATGGGCTATGAGTAGGGGTGCTCAGTTCACTTCCTCCTATTTTAGTTGTCCTAGGACCCCAGCCCATGAAATGATGCTCATCAGTGTTGTCCTTTCCACCTGGAGTGACTGAGTCGAGAAACTCCCTCACAGACATGCCCTGAGTTTGTCTTGAGTGACCCGATCTGACAGTATTAATTATCACAAGTAAATTACCAGTGATCAAGGGTTAAGGGTCCTCTGATACCTTGACTTTGTCAAGTCGGGATGCCAGTGACCCTTGCTAGGATTGCTTCATTCTGGTTTAACTGCCTAGGGTTAGGTTCTTTGTTTTGTTTTTGTCTATTTTTTCCAGATAGTTTATCTTGTTTTTTTTTGGGGGGGGGGGAGGGAGGTTTCGAGACAGGGTTTCTCTGTGTAGCCCTGGCTGTCCTGGAACTCACTCTGTAGACCAGGCTGGCCTCGAACTCAGAAATCCGCCTGCCTTTGCCTCCCAAGTGCTGGGATTAAAGGCGTGCGCCACCACCGCCCGGACTATAGGACTACAGACATAGGCAGCCATCTCTAGCCAAGGTTAAATTCTTGCATTAACTTTGGGATTAGGAGTTCTAGATTTGCTACCACAGTCTCAACCCATCTGCATGTCCTTGGGCAAGCCATAAGTTTTAAAATTCCTATTTTGTGACGTGAGGAGGGTCACACCAGCCTGCTTGCTTATCTCATATATGATAGTAAGTTATGTGAAGCTTTGTGAGTAGTTGTATGTTGAGCAGGTGAGACTGCCCTTTCATCTTTCCTTGTCTCTTGGAGCCTTAATTCTGTCTTATAAGGAAGTTGGCTTCAAACCAGAACCTGACTGTTTATCCTAGAATTTTTCTATCAGTATGTTGTGGCTAATACAGAAACATTTCTTGGCAGCTTACATACTGAATCCCTGAAATGTTTAGTACCTATAAACTCTTCATTTGGATTATGGTAACTACACATATAAGAACACTCTGTTCTGCACACCAACCTAGCTTTTATTCAGTGGCATAGTGTGGATTTTTGTGTTGTTTAATAGAAGATAATCATGTTTTGAGTTTTTTGTTCTATCATCCATATAAATTTCACAGTCTAATTAGTATCCTGCATGTGCATATGCACACATATGCAAACCTGTGCAGCACAGAACAAATGCAGAATCACACTGGGTGCCCTGTTTGAATGTGCTCCACCTAGGACTTTGGAGCCTCAGAGTTGTAGAATGTTGTTTTTATCTTAGTATAGAAATGTTTCCTGGTCATGTATTTTACTTTAATGTGTCTTTCTCTTGATTCTCCCCCACCCAATTCCCCTTGTAGATCTGGAGGCTAATCACCAATTTCTTATTTTTTGGTCCAGTTGGATTCAATTTTTTGTTTAACATGATTTTTCTGTATCCTTTATTAAATGGAGTCAACATCAAAACTTCAGGTTATATAGTATGTATATAATATAGCTATATTATACATGTAAACTTAGTGTATACTATAAGTTGGAACCATGACTCTTGTTTATTTTCATAACATTTTACTATGGCTTCTGGGCCTATAGCTTGTAATCAGGTCATAATATTTGAAACTGTAACTCTTTGTTTATACAGGAGGTTCCAACTGTTAAAAGATATTAGTGTCCTTAAGTTGTGATTTATTGTAGGCATATTTGTAAAATAATATCAGCACCAGCTGGCACAGTAGTAAAACAGCCTGAAACATTGGTAACTCAACAGTATTTTCCCAGGTTTTGGAATGGGTTTCTGAGAGTAGGGATTTTGATTGCAAGGCTAAAAAGACAATGTCAGGATATCTGCTGGCTTGACATTGTAGGTTTGGTTAAAGACGGGAAGAGCCATGGCAGTTGAAGAGTCAGGTGGTAATTGGGTGTGCTGACTAGTCATTCCTCCTATACCTAGTACTCCTGCTCAGCTGTAGGACACAGAGAGCCATTCGGGGTGATGGGACTTATGTCCTAAAATGGTTTCTTGTGA